AAAAAAAAAAAAGAAACAAATAAATCACATGATAGCAATGAAATTTATGCAAAGTAAATATTTATATAGATATTATTTCTATAGTAATATTTTATATAGGTATTTATATATTTATAGAGTAATATCTTATATAGATATTTTATATATTTATAGAGTAATATCTTATATAGATATTTATCTAGAAATATTTTATATAGATATTATTTATATAGTAATACAATATATATTTTAATAAGCTTTTTGCTATATGCAATAAAAGTAATAAAAATTTAATTAGAAATACATTTTATATTTAGTTTGAAGAAAATTATTAGATTTCCGCATGAGAAAATGAAAATATAATAAATTCCTCTCTCTTTGTCTCTCTTAATGAAATGTATATACATATATATATATATCTCTCTATCTCTATATATATATCTCTCTCATCTCTTCTCAAATAATATGTGTGTTAGGCAGATAAATATACAGGATGTCTCAAAAATACTTTAATTAACCTATAGCTGGGGAGAGAAGAGGTGAATTTATACCAAAACCAAAGAATATCCATTTAAATGAATGCAAAGAATATAGACGAATCCAACTTGAACTTTTAACAAATGTTGATCTGTCCTGCTATCTTCATTTACTAAAGAACTGTCAAAATATATATAAATTTTAACATTTAAAAATGGTTTTATTTACACATCCACACATCTAAGTGTGTGTGTATGTATGAGTGTATGCATGTGCAACATTCATAAAAAAATCAAAAAATGGAAAACAAAACATCCATTTTACTTATGAAGATTAAAAAAATTAAAAAAAAAAAAAAAAAACACCAGCTGTTTGTTTGTTTTTTTTTTTTTTTCAATTTTTCTCTCTTTCTCTTTAATAGTATACATACATACAAACATACATACATACACACACACATACATATGTATATACACTCCCGGTTCCCCATCACACTGAACATGACTATTACTTTTTTTTTTTTTTTTTTTATTTATTTATTATTTTTTTTTTTTTTTTTTTTTTTTTTTAAACTTTTCTCCACTTTTCTTTATTTTTTTTAATTCCATTATCTTTGAGATACATATTTTTTTTTATCTTTCGCTCTCTCTCTCTCTGCTATTTTTGTTCTTTGCTGTTTCTTCAATTTTCTTTTCTTAAAACCATTTTTCCATTCGTTTTATTTTGATATGTCTTGTTTGCATACATCAAACCTAACATTAATTTTGAAATTTCAAAAAAAAAAAAAAAAAAAAAAAAAGAAAGAAAAAAAAAATGTCCCAGTGAGCTGAAACTTTGATGACAAACACACCACAACGTTTGACAAGTGGCAAGGACAAACCGATATTTCAGAATAATGCTTAAAATCCTAGTGGTGTGTCCATACCAAGATGCTAATTGTAAGAGTTCCATACCTGGATAATAATAAACCAGCAGGTGTTAGTGCAGGGAAACCCTTTATCATATAACCAGGAAATCCAGTATTAAAAAAGCCTGAAAAAGAAATGAAATAAAATTAATGATTTATATATGTGTGCAATATTAAATTATATAAAAGTACATATTCATAACATTATCTTTCAGAATATGTACAATTTTCTGACCAAAAAGCCATTAATCATATTTTTTTTTTAATTGTTCTATTTAAATCTGTTTAATTTATTTTTGCTTCAGATTTTTTCAAAAATTTTAATGTGAAATTTAAGAAAAAAAAGTGTCTGAAATTATATTTATAAATTAATACAATTTTAAATTTATATAAGATTTTCAAATAAAATTTTTTTTTTTTTTTATTTTCTTCATTCAATTTTATTAAATTTGCATGGGGAGGATTAAATGAAAATATAAAAAAAGGTTATTTGTAAATATAATGAAATATTTACAGCTACTCAATACTGCAGTTAAGAAAAAGAATATATTAAACAAAATTAGGCACTTCCACTTTTTTGCTAATGAGAGAGAGAAAAAAAAAAAAAGCATACCATGTTGGAAAAAAAAAATTTTTTTTTAAAATTTCAATAAAAAATTTTATTGTCAAAATGTTTTTATTAAATTAAGAAGGAAGACCAAAAGTATTTTTTATTCTTTTATTAAATTTTTTAATCCTTTTCAAGCATATTCGAAATTCTGGTTAAAGACAGTTGTTTTTTTGCATCAGCAAGTGGGACAAAAGATTAGTATTAGGAAATTTATCATCTTTTTCCCCAGATGTAAAAAACATATGAATTTGGAAAGAAAACAAAAATCAAATAATTGTCAGATTTTAATGAACTTTTCAGGACTTATTGACAAACCAATTAAATTATTTTAGATATTTTTCCTTGTTAAAAAATGATGGTAGAAATAGTTTTTTTTTTTTACATTAAATCACATTTAATGAAAGTTCAGGAAATTAAATTTTGTCCTGTTTCATATTAGTTGAAAGCAGGACTCTTTGGAGAATGTAAATCATCAATTTGTTTGTTTGTTTGTTGTTTTTTTAGTTTTTTCAAACAGTTTCTCATTTCCTGAAAATCTGCTCTGAATTGTAAAATAAAATGCAATCAAACTAAGACATCATTTCATTAGAAAATCTTAATTGTTTTTATGAATTTTTAGAAGAATTGTTTTTTTTTTTTTTTAATTTTAATTATAATAATTTATATAGTTTTAAATTTTTAGAAATACAGGTTTTAAATCGGTTAAGTGTTTGATATTGTTATTAAGTAAAATTATATTTACTAATAATAAATTGAAAAGTTTAATACAAATCATTCTGCATATTTAATATTTTAAAAAAGAATTTTGATTTTTTAATATGTATAAACATGCCTATTTTCTATTATATAATGGACCATACATAACATTATCAGAAAATAAGGGGAAAATAACAATAGTAAATTTACTGACAAATATTTAAAAATTCAATAAAATATTAGATTACACCATTTTTTCTTAAATTTTAAGATTAATGATACTTAAAATTATATATGTGTGCTTATGTTAATTCAATTACTTTTTTTAATGCCTAAAGCCCCCACAGAACATTAAATATCAATCTCAAACCCACAAATGCCTTAAAAAAACAGGTTTTAGGTTGAAAAATTCATTTTTTTTATATTTTAAACTTTTAAACAATAGTTGTTTCAGAAAATTTAATTATACTCTAAATCTGTTAATATTTCTCAAATTTCATTTTTTTATTCCGCATTTTTTGATGAACAACAACTAAAAAAAATGAATCAAAGGATAATAAAAAAAAAAAATCAAACAAAAAAAAACAATTCCTAGTCAATTTAAATTGAAAATTTAAATTATTTTGCTTTATTGGAAATATTAAATTATATTGCTTATTTGAAATATAAGACTTAAATAAAAACTTAAAGATTTAAAAAAAAATTTATTTAAAAAACTTATTTTATTGCGTTTTTTTTTAATTTATTTTTGGTGGTATTGACAATATGTTATATATATATATATATATATATATATATATATATATATATATATTAGTAGAACATTATTCTGCCTGTCTTAGTTTATAATATTTCTTTGTAAGTTGATTATTCTTTTACATAAATTTTATGGAATGATAAACAAGAAAACTGAGAGGAACAAAAAATGTCTTTTTTTAGTTAATAGATGTAAGGGGATTAAAGGGATTAAGGAGTTTAATTGTCTATGTAGGTATTGGGCAATCAGAAAATATTGGTAATGTGTTATACTGAATGGCATATAGCAAAAAATATATAGAATGATTTAAAATTCTACTTTACAATGCTCAATCTGAATACTTTAATAAGAAAAGTTTTAAATCCAAAGAAAACAAAAAAAAACTAAAATGAAAATTTAAAAATTTTTTTAAAAAACAAACATGTTCATTTTTAATACTATTCTTAAACTAAACTTTCTCAAGGTTTTGTAAGTTTCAACAAAGAAAAGTAATTTCTTTGCAGGTTAAATTAAAAGAAATAAAAGGTAATGAATAATTTAACCAAACGTCTTAAGAATGTGGTTAAAAAATGTTGCATTTATTGAAAAAAATGGGAACATTAGGGATATAATTATTGAATTTAGAGTGTGGGCATGGAATCAACAGATGTGTGATCAGTTTTAGTTTCAAGATATTCAAAACATGTAAATGAAAATGGTAAAATATTTGATAACAAGGATTTTTGCTAACATAGCATCAATGTAGAAAAAAAAAGTCACTAGAACTAGAAAAAAAATCTATTAAAGATAAAAAAATTGTACAAAGATGACTAAATAAAATTAGGTTATGGAAGAAAAAAAATAAAAAAGTTTAACAAATGAAATAACAGGAACAATGAAAAAAAAATATTTTTGGACAAAAATTTGAAGGGATCTCAAAAGAAAAGAAAAAAAGAATACAAAGAAAGAAAAAAAAAAGAAATAAAAAAAAATATGGAGAAATAAAAATTCTCAAATAGAAATGAAAAAAAAGAAAAAAAAAAAGATGGAAAAATGGAAAAGATGGAAGGAGAAAGAAAGAAAGAAAGGAATTAAAAATTCTCATAAAAAATTTGAAAATTAAAAAAAAAAAAACTTCAGGAGTTCAGAGAAAAAATAAAAAGGAGAAAAGGAAAAAATTTAACTGAATTTTAAAAAGGAAACATTTAAAAAAAAGAAAAAAAAAAATAAAGTAAAAAAAAAAAAAGAATTTGTTTGTCTAGGAAAAAAAAAATTTCTAGATTCAAAATGCTGATGAATAAAAGAAGGAAGGAAACAAAGAATTAAGGGAAGGAAAAAGAATCTAAAAGAAAAAAAAAAAGGAAAAGATTCTAAAAAAAAAAATAAAAAAAAAATTTTCAATTAAAAAAAAAAAAGAAAAAAAGTATTTTTGGGAAAAAAGAAAAAGGAAGAAAGGAATGCGAAAAAAAAAAAATAGAAATAAAAAAAAGAAAAAAAGGAAAAAAGGAAAAAATTGAAGAATTGAAAAAAAAGGAAAAAAGAAGGAAGGAACCTTTTAAAAAAAAAGAAAAAAAGGAAAAAAAAAAGAAGGAAAC